TGAATTATTATCGGATTAAAGCAATTCATTCTACTTTAAGAATCGCAAGCTGTGTCCAAACGCCCGGATTGAGTGAGCCCATCCTATTGGACTGAAGCCCGCCCAAGTTGTCACCTAAATCAATTTGTATCACAAATTAAGCCCAATCCAACCCGTACATCTAGTCGTTCTAAAGAATAACCGGAACTTTTTTTTTTTTGGTAATTGGGTGTCCGAGCAAGTTTGCACGCATCTTAACTAATTATCGAAGCTCATTGAACATCATACAAAGTCAATGAGTCAGGTAAATCACAAATTTGGTAGGCCCCAAGGTGGTAAGCCACAAGTTTGCGCACGGATTGAGTCAGCCCATCCTATTGGACTGAAGCCCACCCAAGTTGTCATCTAAATCAATATTTATCACAAATTAAGCCCAACCCACCCCTACATCTAGTCGTTCTAAAGAATAATCGGAACTTTTTTTTTTTTTTTTGGGTAATTGGAGCGTCTGAGCTAGTTTGCGTGCACCTTAACTAATCATCGGAGCTCATTGAATAGCATACAAACCCAATTAGTAAGGTAAGTCATAAATTTGGTAGACCCCAAAGTGGTTTAAACCGAGAAAAATCAATGAAGAGAGTAAACCTTTGTGATCACTAGCTCAACCTCTTGGGATTGAATAAACCCAAACTACCTATTCAAATAAGTGTAAAATCATATAATAAGAATTTTTTTTTTTTTTGAAAAAACATAATAAATCTATCATATTAGAGAAGCCAAGCAGTGGACAATTATGAGAAAGTTTGGAGGAAGAGTGATGGTAAAAGTGTAAAAGATAGAATCTGTTTGTGTAATGAGAAATGATGATAGCGGTTGCGACGCAAACAAGAATCAGATATTAATTTCCATGAAGAACATGGAATTAATCTTGTTGGGGAGCAAACCGTGTTTCATGAAGGGCACTGTAAATGGTGGGGAAAGGCCTTAGCGTTAGGGGCTGTATTCTCTGTACCAATGAAGTACTTTTTTCACCTTTCAAAAGGCCTTCCTATTCCTTTTTATTAATACCAATGGAGAAATGTACAAATCACATGTCAGCTATCCCTTCTATATTCAAAATATTAGAAATGTTAGTTACATATCATATCATATCCATGCTTTTTGTTAGCTATCTTTACCATGTCAGCCATATAGACTCTTTCTGAATTGGGCTGGATTTCTTCAGTTGGGCTTCTTCTTAATTCAACCCTAGCGGACTCCTTTTGGGTCTACACCATTCTATTCTTAGCCGATGATTACCCAAATGTCTTCTCCTTCATTAACTAAATAAATGTATTGCATCTTTCTTTGTTCCCAGGTCATGCTGTTGCGAACTGCACAGAATGAGAAACTAAAATTAACCCAGATAAGGCGATGAGATCCCTTCTGTTTCACTGACCAACGAGGAATTCTTGCTCTTTAAACGCCAGTTACCAGTTTTAGCTTTTGGTAGGCAGGCTAACGCAGTGTCTCCATTACCATTTACAGATGAATAAGGATTGAACGCTTTCAAGGCTACACAATATTAAGGTAATAATCCAGAAGTGAGGTCTTCATTAGCTATTTAATAACAGAAATTTGAGCGATGTATAGAAAGAGATTTTTGATGAATCTGATGATGCCACCTTTTGTACTTGAAGCCGTTAATCGATTGGGTAGATACTCCCAAACTTTCTTAAGCATTCCTACTAGAAGTAGTACTTATGAATTAAAGATACGCGTGAAATGTCACCTGCATTTCTTTTAGAGGAAACGCTGTTCCCACCCAAAGATTTAGCGAAATGACAGTGTACACCTCTGATTTCATTTATTCCAAATTCCCACCCTTAAAATAACGCCGTTAGTGAGAGTTAAGTATTGACACGGTTGCTGATGGTGTTATTACTAAATTATCCTTTCATCATCTTTTTCTTCATACCAGCCACCATCACTGCCACCACCACCTAGTTGCACGATTTTTGCCCTTTTCCGACTGCTCCCGCGTCGGAAATCCCTCCCACGATCACAAATCATCTCACCGACCTCCCACCTCTAAAAGCCCTATCCTCCCTGACACCAATTGCCCGCTGGTCGTCGCCCCCACCATTTAGGATTTCGCCATTTGGAAGACTTGGGGTTTGCGATTTTCGAGTTTTTGATGGCTGTTTGGATTGGATTGAAGGTGGAAGTAGTTTTGTTGTGTGTGTATCTGTGTGATTGATTACCAGTTGCCGGTGCTCCCCATCTGCAACTTCGAAAGTTGGCACGCCAACTGTTCGAAGAAAGTCTAACAAAAAACTAAACTCACGTTCACATCCTTCAACACAAAAGCAAATCCGGACTTCAGATTCTTCAAAACAACATGAAGACCATTAAAAAACTACAAGCTTACAAATCATTATTAATGAATTAAAATCAAACAAAACACTTGTCTAACGAAAAAAACACCAAACACCCATTTGAAAAAACCCCAGAACAAACCTGAAGATAACCAAAACAATTGTCTAAAAGTCAATGGGACAATAAGTGACTGACTTGCGGCGGCAGAGGGAGGTCAAGGGCGGCAAATGGTGATAGGGAGCTAAGTCTTGTCGAATTTGGTGGTCAAAACCAGTGAGGAGCCTGTTGAACGGCCGACGGCGGAGCCGGCGGTGTAATGGGTTGAAAATCATAGGGGTTTTGGAGTTACCATTTTAACCGTTAACGTTAGAAAATACAATTTTCTGTTACTTTAAGAGGAATATGAGTAACATTATATTTACAAAGAAATTTTACAAACATCTCCATACAAAGTGACATAGTAAAAAAATGAATGAAAGAGTAAATTTAATAAGTTTAATTTTTTATTTTATTTTTCTATTCATTTTTTACTATCTTACTTTATATAAAAATCTTTATAAGTATTTATTTATTTTTTACTATCTTATTTTGTATGGAAATCTTTATAAGTATAGTGTTATTGTATAGAAATAAATGAAACGAGGGTGGACACTCGGTAATTCGCTAATCTTTAGGGGGGACGATGTCGTTTTTGCTCTTTCTTTTACTTGCAGTGATTTCTAACCAACGCCCACGACGGCATGGCCCACTCAATATCTGACTTCTCATCAAGCTACTTTAATTACCTACACGTACAAATCCTAGAGTTAGGGAAGATGCCATTAATTTAAAAAATCAATGAAAAACTTTAGGGTTATGTACTCTTTACGAAATTCAAACACCTGCAACAACCTTTACCTACCAACCATCTAGCCACTACAACATAGCGTAAACGGCATATTCTCACCCGAGGTTTGATGAAATCTCAAGCAGATACCCTCGGTTTCATTTATTCCAAATCTCCACCCTTAAATGAACGTTGTTAGTGGCGGTTTGGTTCTGTGACAAGCTATTACGAAACTGCCATTCACACCATTCCAAACCATAGTCCATTCTAAGCCACCCATCCCAAACCGCCACCACAATCGGCCAAACCACCCCCATTCCAAACCACCATCGCAGTCGGCCCACTCTACAATCAATCAACAAATCAAATTCACTCCAAAACACAGGTGGTAGGCGACGGCAATGGCAAGGAAAATCAGCAGTAGCAGGGAAAACAACCAAAAAAAAACCCACAACCAATCAACAAATTAAATTCACTCCAAAACACAACAAAAACGTGACAAATCAAACTCAAAACAAAGGCTCCAAATCAACTCAAACCCAGCTGTCGCGCGAAGAGATGGGGAAGCTATGGACGGTGACCGGTGACCAAACGATTGTTAGGGATGGAAGGGATTTTTGAGAGGGGAGGCCGGTGAGGTGAATGGCGGTGACGGGAGGGATTTCTGTTGCCGAAATCGACGGGAAAATGGAAAAATCATGCAAACCGTAGATTTGTGGTGGTCGGCTATTAAGGGGTTCTCTTGGATGAGGGTGAGAGGGGTTTTGGTGTGTTGGTTAAGGGGAAGTGATGGGGGTGTCCGGCGACGTCGGAATCAGGTGGTTGGGCGCTGCACTCACGGGAAAGGCAAAATCGCACAGTGAAGAAGAAAAAAATGGAGAAATGTAAGAGGGAGATGGATAGTCACCGCTAGATCTGGGCTTCATCACCGGAAAGGGCCAGAAAATGGTTGGCGATGACGCCGACAAAGATGAGAGAAAGCGGAAGATGAAAAGGTGAAGGTGGTGGTGGAGAGAAATTTGAGATTTAGGGTTTTTTAGGGTTATTTTGTCTTTTTAATATCAAAATAGAGTAAAGACTATTTTAGCCTTCCATTGTTAAAATAAAGAAGTAAAAATTTGGAATAAAAGGAACTGCGGGTATCTGCTTTAAGATTTCACCAAACCTCGGGTGAAAACATGTCGCTTAGTCCTACAACATATATAAAGGCACTGGGGACACTTGACACCTACACTAATTAATACTCTAATAAAAGATATCTCTAGCACAAATAATTTCCGGAAAGGTAGTTGGGATATTAACGAGGAACCCTACAATTACAGATTTCTTGTAATAATCATTAATTATTTAATTGAATTTAGAACTAGAATTATGATTCTATAGTACAAATTGATTTATCTATCTACGTATAATTAAGTTTCCCCTCAAAAACTGATCAGGGTGTCTGGCCGGCTTATGCCCAATGTAAGTCACAAATTTTGTGGAATTAGTTTGTGCGTGTCTCAAGAAATTAAACCCACTACTAACCCAATGTAACCCACAAATTAAATACACTACAGTAACCCACAAATGTGGTAGATAAGATAACCACAATCCACCCAAATACCTAAAGCTTTGTCGTCCACAAGGCTACTGGCTACTGGTTACTGATACACATTATTGGCAAGTAAGATTATGAAAGATTTGGTTCACCCTCGCGGAGAAAGATGGAGAAACCTGAATTGGGTTAATCAGCTTATATTATAAAGATCAGATTATCAAAAGCAACAATCAAATCAAATGCATTACAAAAATAAGCTCTGTCTGACCAATAGAAAGCATACGGATTACATTAAATAAAGTAAAGAACCGCATTAATTAATCAGCAAAAACCAGTCTTAGTTTAGAATAAGTTGTTTAAGCACGTCCTAATACAGCATGAAACTTTCCAAACTGCACTAATACCCAGAACTCGTCCAAGTATTACTCATCAAATCTTCAACATTTGAAAGTAAAACAAACATGTACTTATGAGTACAAACTAAATATAAAACACACACACACAATCGAACATACATTCGATCTTAATTCTCATCTCCTGCAACGAGTGATGGAAGAGCAACCTCTAGTGTAAGGGTGCGCCGGACCTCGAGCCTTGTAACAGTTGTGAGTGTAGTAAGACCTTCCAGAGCGAGGCGGACATGGAATTCGATTAGCAGCTAGAGCTCCATACGAAATGTAGTACTTCATTGTATGCCAGAACAGTGATCTACGACCAAACTCACCTTCCTCATCATCCTCTAAACTATCTTCCTCTTCATTCTCATCCAAACTCTCTTCGTACACATGAGGCATTGATAACGGCCATTCAATCGTCTCTGTCATAAGCTTCAAGTTTGCCTCATCAACCTGAGCTTGAACCTTTGGACTCAAAGAAATGTATATCATTAAACCGAAAATAAGAAGCTTGACCGGTGATGGTGAGGAAGCCATGGAAATTCTTGCAGAGTAAAAACCCAATTAAAAATAGAAGGGGGCAGGTTTTTAAGTGGGCTATGTTTGGTTTCAGAAGCATTGCCGCATTGGTACAACGAGACAGATAATCACATGATGAAGCTGGAGGTGAAGTTGATAGTGATTGGGTTACAGCTGGACTTCAGCAATGACCATTAAAGTGTGCCTCGATTATTGATCACCTCCTTTTTTTTTTGATCGGGTGTGTTAGGATATTGGGGATAATTTTGTTCTGGAATCATGGTTCGTACGATCATTGGATAATTTGTTGATTGGATAGATGTATGATATTTGTGTGTGAATTGATTAGATGAGAGTAATTTAAGGAAATAAAAAGGGGATTTGGTCGACATTTGATGCTGTTATTATTGCCGGTGGTCAGTAAATAAGACACTGTGCATGGCATTAAAGACGCGGCCGGTCGGGTACTGGGCCGCTCAATAACACATGCTAGTTTTACGCTAAAATTACTTGTTTGTGTGGAGATTAAATTAGACTACATTATTCAAGTAAGAGCGAGACAAATTTTCAATTAATTAAAAATAATATATATTTTTTATTTAAAATTTTAAATAAAAAACATCGTAATAAATAAAAATGTGAAGACTTCAAAAGTTTTCAAGGTAGACCCTTAATCTAAATTTTTGAAAGGGAAGCGATTTGCAACCCCCACCTAATTGATCGGTAGTCTCCATTATTAAATACACTTTCCCTTTAAATGATCAGATCAATTATTTTCATCAATAAATCATGTTTTAGTTTATAATCTTATCCCAAAGTTTATTATATCAATCCCTTCTTCACTTTTTTTTTTTTTGGGTAACCGGGGTGTCCGAACCAATTTATGTGCACCTCAACTAATCTTTGGATCTGTTGAATATCCTACAACTAATCCCTTTTTTCACTTTTATATTGCCTACAAATCACTTTTTTATTTCTATAAATATCAATGCATTCAAACATTTTATTATCCTCTCGTAACGAATAATTAAATAAAACTTTTGTCATGAATCATTTGCAATCTTTCAATGAATAAAAGAAAAAAAAATCCATAGTGAATAAATATATTTAATATAATCCAGGGGCTGAGCCAGAATTTTTTTTTCTTGGGGCCGATATGTAATTTTTAATGAATTAGACGGCCATAATTAGAAAGCTACTTTATAGGAGGCGTTTGGGTCATATAATATTTTATTATAGGGGTATATTATATTAACGGAAATAAATATCATCTTAAAGATTACTGAGAATGTTTAGAAAATGTGTTTGGTTGGTTATAATAAATTGATGTATAATATGTTTTGTTGGAAGGATAAATGGGTGGGTATGTTATATAGATTACCAAATTACCCTCCTTTTTAAATACTAATATAATAATATTTTTTTTATTATTATTTTTTGAATCATTGCTTTTAATTTCCTACAATTGAAATTTTGCTAAAACACCTCAGCCATATAAAACTTTAATTTGTAGCAAAATCACTCCCACCCACCCCAAGCCACTGCTGGCAGTTGACGGAATGGCGCACGATTGGCCGTATATGGCCGACTTGCGCTGGCAAGGCTGGAAATGGCCATGGATCACAAATCCATGGTTGAAAAACGACTAGATTTATGGTAATTTCATGGCTAGATCTGTGGTTGTTTCACGACCACATCTTTGGCCATAACGACCATAGAAACACCAGATCTAGTCATTTCAGATCTATGGCTGGAAAAGGCCTTACCGACGCATGACTGGTTAGATCTCATCAGTCATGCACCATTACGGCGACTGACGCCAATGGTCGACGGTGGTGAGTCACGGCCCACAGTCAATGATAGTGAGTCACGACCGACGGTGGTCTTGGGTGGTTAGGGATATTTTGCTAACTTTTAAACTTTTTTGTGGTTGGGGTGTTTTAGCTCATTTCTCAAATGTAGAGGGGCTGGGTAATTGTTATTTGGTAGACATTTGAGGGCAATTGTGTCCAAAATGCTTTTTAATTAAGGGCAAAATGAGTAGAAAAATCTACCCTGGTAATGTTTTAATAACACCCTCTAACAAGGTAATAAGATTACCCCCCACATTATCAACAGTAAACACAGGTGGTAGGCGACGGCAATGGTAACCTTTGGTCTCACCTCTTATACCTTCTGGTGCTGTTCAAGTTTTTGGCAACACTGAACAGTTATATGCCCAACTCCGTAAAGAACGTGATGAAAAGCTCAAGCTGGAACAAGAACAAAAGAAGCGAGAAAAGTATTCTGCTAGACCGCAGACCTTATCCGCTGATATTCCTGACTCTTTCTCTTTTAGTCACTCAGGCCCTCCATCTCCTAAGCCTCATCGTCCTTTATCTAAGGATAAGGCTCCAATGCACATAATGATGATGGAAGACCGCCAACCTTCTGCTAATCTTGACTCTTCAGAAAATCCTGTCTCTTCCAATTTTATGAGCTCTTTTTTGAGAGACATGGCAGAAAGGCAACGTCTTGCCACTTCGGGTATTTCTCAAGATTCTCTATCTACCTTCCAATCAGAATCAGAAGCCGATATACCTTCGACTGATGAATCATTTAAAAGTGGCTTTGACTCTGACAGTAATACTTCTGATCAACATCCTAATGTTTATCCCCAACTGATGACCCATCAAACCAAATCGTCAAGACCACATGTTGTTTCTGAGGTTGATGATGAGATGCCTGAAGGTGATGATTCCATTCCAAACTCTCCGCCTATGTATCGACAATCTCGTCATACTACGGTTGAACGTGACTCTTATACAGCTTCAGCAAAGCTCCACACTTTTACCGTTGATGATCTTCTTTCACACAAATGGAGAACTCGGATGTATGAATTTCAGGCCTGGTTACAAGCTAAGATGCTGAAACCTAATGCCCAAGTCTCCACTGTACTTACGTAGTTTACGGCTAGATTTGATGGCATTCTCCGTGATTGGTGGACAAGTCTTCAGGAGTATAGACAAAATTTGTTCATCCAAATGCCAAATATTAACTAAGCTCTGTATCTTCTGTATGATGAATTCTGTAGATTACCTCACCTTTATGAGAACCAGGTCAGAGAAGAATATTTTAAGATGCGATGCTATTTTCTAAAAAAGAAAGATCTTGATAGGCATTACAAAGAGATGGTAAAACGATATCATACTTAGGGGTATGGATGATCCTAACATGAAGCAAGCCTTTTTGGCATCAATTCCTGAATCCCTAAGTCATGAAGCAACCAAGCTTATGCAGTCCCAGAACAAACAACTTGGATCCACTTCTCTTGGTGAAATTTATAGGTTTGTTATTCTTGCTCTGGAAAAGCTCTGTTCTCAAAAACAATTTTTTGACCATTATCTGAAGCGTTCTAAACAGCTGACAAAGGTTTGTCAATGACCAGACTTGCAGATCAAATGCAAATCAGATCGCTCATGTTCTTGTCCTACCAAGAAGAAGTTTCATTCTAGACGTATCAGGTTTCCTCACCCTAATGCTGCGACTAGACATAATTTTGACGTTTCAAGCACCGCAAGTTTCTTCAGAAAAGGAAACGCAAAGGCAAACGGTCTAATCGTGTTATTTGTGCAATCGCTGGGTCATTTTGCCAAAACTTGTCCAAACAAGCGAGAGCAATCAGTCAAAATGATGCAACAACTTTCTCAGCTCACAAATATAGATTTTTCTGATGATGATGTTGAAAGTTGGTTTTCCATGGATGAAGAACTCACTTCAACACTATTTTCCAGTTTGCAGCCACTGATACTAAGTTCTCTGATTCAGATGATTGTCACTATTTCTACCATATTCAATAAGCACCACAATCCTTTCCATCATTAGCCTTCTCATGTCACATACTACAGCAAAGTTCAGCTTCCCCACAAAATACTCAAATCTCGTTTCAGTCATAGCATTTTTTGATACTGGTGCTACTCGTACTATTATCAACCATAATCCTTCCAGCCTCTCAGTGGAAACCTCATCAGGAAATATTCTACACTGCTAATAGTGAGACTTTCACTACTCATCTGATTAGCAAACCCATTAAAATCCAAATTTTCCAGGATGTTTCACTTTTCTAAAGTTCTTGGTTCCGATCTACCTGGTAAAGATATGTTCTAGGTTGAATCCTCCTTGATGGTGTTCGGTACAAGATGTTTTTCCAATCCTGACCACTCAGCCTAATTTATTCCAGATTGAAGCAATCCTATTGAGCAGATCAAGACCCAGCTTATTTCCCGCTCTTGCGCAGATTCTCATGCTGATTTTCTCACTAAAGTGCTTATCCATTATGGAAGAATTCAGATTTCTTTATCCGTCTTCCATTCGTCAGAGCGAAGATATCAATCCCACTAAAGCTAGTCATTCCGGCATGTCACCAGAACATCTCTCTAGCTCAACAAGAATGTACTAAGCTTTTATCTCAAAGTTGATTAAACTCACAGACTCTCAATGGCATGTGAAGCTTTTTATGTCAATAAACGTACAAACAGCCAGAGAAAACTCAGACTTGTTATTAATTATCACCATTAAATTTCTTTCTTCGTGATGATAAATTCTCCTGCCTTCCAGACAAGTTCTCTTTGCAAATCTCCATAATGCAAAGATGTTTTCCAAATTTGATCTCAAAGCTGGATTTTGGCAACTTGGAATTCATCCTGATGATCGTCACAAGATTGCTTTCTGCATTCCTAACCAACACTTCCATTGGACAGTCATGCCTTTTGGCCTTAAAGTCGCTCCTTCCCTGTTTCAGAAAGCTATGACGAAGATTTTTGCTCCCCTTCTGCATACATGTCTCATTTATATCGATGATATCCTTCTCTTTTCAAAAGATGAGGAATCTCATATACGTCTTCTTCGTGACTTTGCTGATATCATCCACACTTATGGTATCATGCTCTCTGAGAAGAAAATGCGTTAAGACAAACAAAGATTGATTTTCTTGGTATGGTTGTTGATGGCAAGTATGATCTTCAACCTTATATTGCTAATGATTGCAAAAATTCCCGATGTTCTCACAACCAAGAAAGAAAATCAACAATTCTTGGGAATGGCCAATTACAGTGCGCATTTCATTCCCAACATTTCTCGTTTCACTATTCCACTTTCTCGATGCTTAAGAAGAATCCTCCAGTAGTCTGAAAAGTAGACAATGCAATCAAGA